TATCAGAAACACTTTTGTTCTACTAGCAGACTACATAAAGACTTAAACGCCTCGTATTTTACGTTAAACACTAAGTTTAAGAATCCATTTTATTGCACGATATACTGTATTTATATACTATTCCTCAATAGTCCATGAGTCACAGTTAGTATGATTAACTTTAGAATCATTTACTGAATTAGATATTAATAGTAACTACTGCTCCCTAATGTAGACAACAGTAATTACGAACATAGACATCTGATGACTAATACAGAATAGTCAGATTACGATATGTCTTATCACGGAACATTTCCACGATAATTTACAATATACCATAAGTAAGTTAAAATCACAATGATTCGAACCGTAAGTAGATAATTTGCATTCCCTATTATAACTATTAATTCAGTATGTGTATATGCGTCTCTGTCATAAACAGTCAGTGCTATATTAAAACACAGTATATCCAAATTAGAAGTTAACTAAATAAGGATAGGCTAACAGAATTATCTTAACATAGATATTTCTACTCTAATACAGTATATAACACTGTCGCAACTGCCTACAAACTGTATAAACCAGAATAAGTAATGGCTAAGCTATCCTATTACGTTATATTTTAGGCTCTAGGAAGCTAAAGGTTATCAATTTGTTAGAATAATATACTCATTGTAACATGTAGATCCATCATTTAAATTCAATATACTTTGCGATTTACGGTGAATTAGTTTGGCAATAATGTACATCCTAAACCATATATTGATTACCGTACCATATCATTACAATTGAATTAATATACGCACATCATATACAAGACCAATTTAAGATCAAATTTAACCCCAGATTTTAACAAGGCTATTTGAGAGTATCTTATATTACAACAATAAGTAATTTCTTATTTGCAATGCAGTAGCATAACAAGCAATGTAGAGAGTATAACATATTTGTTCAGCTTAAATAATCGTTAACGATCAAAAGTACTAAAATTTCATCTTAAAATTTCCTTACAGAATAATTGCACAAAATTTGATAACGGAATTTGAATTTTATACCTTTAAGAACAACAACAAAATCGAGACAATGTTAGAGAATCAATTACTATGACTATTCAAACAAATATTCTTTAAAATGTTATTTCCATCAAATTGCTACCTGTTTTATCTCGGATTTCTATAGGGATTTACAATCCAATATGATTACAAATATAACGGAACAGGATGACGAGTTACCGAATTTAAAATCGCTGTAAATATTTAAATAACTTTGCATTCGACAACATACTTCTAGCTCACTAGTTTTATTCGTATGCTTCGTACAATTTGTTTAAATCTTTTTCTAATTACTTAATTAAAGTAAATCACCAGCTTTGCTATTTTAATTCTCAAATTCATAACGTGGTGTTTCGTATATAAATATAACCATTATTTATACCAATTAATATAGGAATCTAAACAAAAACTTGTTAGATAATGACATTGCAGAGAAATTAAAGAACGGGCATTTGAATAAATTGCATGAACTGTAAGTAGCTAAAATTTTCATAAAGTTCTTGTTCGACCTTTAGAATATAACTATGCTGCCATAAAGATTTCATCGCGGATTATGAAATGTATATAAACGAGGCCGCACGCGAAATCGGTCATTTTGCAAAATGACTATAGGTAACAGTTTTTCCTTAAATTTTATAACATAAAATGTATTTTTTCATTTAGTCAAATAGCAGAGAACAACATTAGTGCATTACCTAAAGAATTCTTCTATTATCTGAAAGAAAGCACTAGAATCTAGTAAGTGTTAGCATCATACCATTTCACGTTACCATTTACCTATAAACCATTAAATTTCGGCTTCTATATTTATTAAAATTTAGTATAAGATTCCTAAAACATGATTATTTTAAACTATTCTTTCTTGAATTCCTTTAGCAATTTGGGATTTAATAAATATCTAGAAACGCAAAATGTCTTAGAAGCGATTAATGAATTTCTACCCTTGCTCCCTTATGAATGCGCAGCAGAAAATATATCACGTTGCCAATCATTTTCGATGTGAGTTAACCACTATTCATGACTGGTTGCACTTGCGGCCATGTATCAGAGATGCATTAGCTTTAAGTATCCATTTCCAAATGCCTGTTTTGGTCTAATAATAGATAACTGTTTATTTTAGTCTAAACTAAAATAATTTTCAAGCTGGTTTTAGTCAAGTACAATTTTAAAGAACTAATCTAGGCCATAGCATCCTGTGAACCAAATTTATATATAATATATTATTTCGATATATAGAGATATTAGTGGATACCGCATAGAACGGAAAAGAGAAGAAGGAGACTATGGAGTGCTCTCTTCACTTCAAAACAACGTTAAAACATTGTAATTTAGCAATAATTAAAACTAGTAGAATTCTATCGTTCTGTGATTCACCTAAATTAAACGTCATCAAATATACATTTCACTGAAATATTTTACGTCATATTATAGGTTTCTTTTACTATCTACCAATTTACATCAATACTTATTCTATTACAGATATATCAGTAAAATTGGTATCCATAGACTCGATCTTAGAATCTTATTTAATCGAACAAATCGAATTTTAAAAGAGCTGTAAGTCAACTCTTATGTTAAAAATTATGTAAGAAATGTATTATAAAGCTGTTACAAGGAATCTATTGATCAATGTAATGTTATGAAACACGTTTTTCATCAACCTCATAAAATATTCTAATTCGACGTTAAATTTGATGAATACTGTATCGTATTTTGGCTTCAGTAAAATAACTATAATGCTATCTCTGTAGACTTACCAGCTTATTCTACAAATGGGAACTTTCGTAATATTAAGGCAACAGTAATCGTTAACCATGAATCGTTAGCCAAATTATTGATAAAAATTTTCATGATAGACATTATACTAGAAATTTTCTAGAAGAAATCACAAGTAACGGAATTCAATTTCCGAACCTAGAGATCATGTAAGAGTGCATAAAATCATACTGTATACGTTACGGACATATATAAATTCATTTAAAAATTTTAATTGCAATCAAATTAATATTAGTTTGCAATACATAAGGTTAAACTTAAAAAAGTTTTGCTTCAGTGCCGATATGACATAAACAGTTATAGTTTGTAATGTTCGTTTTGTATAACTCAAATTTTCAGAAATTTAGAAAATAACTTCCTACAAGGCGCATGTTTTACTGAATCCTACTATGACGTCTGGCCCAATATCCATACACTGTAAGATTATTCGGCCTGATTCTTGATCAATTTATTTTATGATATAATCAAATTTTCAGTAAACTACATAATCTTATAATTAACTATTACATACATTGAAATCAGGCTTCATAAATTGTAATTAATTATGTGTAAGTGCACGAAAAATGTACTACCTTTTTAATTATACCAAGCCACAATTATTTTCTCTTTTAACAGGATCTTAAAGCAAAATCGCATTCGAACCTTGAATAATGACTGTTTTTATAAATATAAGCGACTTCGTATATTGTAAGCTTTCCTAATTTGTAATAGTAAATTAATTTTACAACTCTCCTGCCTTTGATAAAATTTATTTGAATTTTATGATAACACTTTACCGAATTATAAAATTATATTACTTAATTCTAAATTAAAAGTTGAAAGCTACCGATATTCCATAATAACAGCATTTTATACGTTATTACGGTCATCTATTTATAACTTATAATCTTTACAGAAATCTGGAGCTAAACATTTTGACCCATGTTAGTGATCAGGCTCTTCGTGGACTGACGAATCTTAGAAATGTGTAAGTATCAATGACATCACCAATAGTTAATATATTATATAATCGTTACATGCCTCTACAACAATATAAGCTTGTACCTATAGTACATTATGACTACACGTTGATTTTAGCTTATCCTTTTTTATAAACATAGACTGAATTAATGCGTACTTGCCTATAGACATAGCATGCTAAGTCTAGCATTTGCAGCATGTACTATTTCTTTGCAGCCACAAACAGCGTTGTCATCTACTAATACTTAGACCGTTTGTGACGAGTTTACTTCTATAGTCTTAGCTCTCTACATTATCTCTATTCCAAAGCCTTAAATACCACTAATTTCTAACCCATATCTCTACTCTTGCGTTCATTACAGTATTAGTACTTTCTTGATTGCTTCATAACAGCTTATAAGCCACTCTACGTTAATTACCTCAATACTATAATTTTTACAATGTGCAAGACGAATCTTGCTAACTTACTAAACGTATTGCACTGATTTCTAAATTACTTATAACCGTTATAACTCTTAGAAATTAGCTCAAAATCACTCTGGTCACTAAATAAAAAAATAATTAAGAAATGCTTAGACTGTTCTTTATCAGTGATATATGAGCCTCATTAAGTTAGCAAGACTAGAAATTAAGAATCTGATATGTTAAATACTGTACGCTGCGAATTTATACAGAAAAGCAAGTTGCAGTGCTAAACTAAATTTAACTTAAAATTTCAACAAAGTTTTATTTCTACTAGTATATTGAACTCGCCTCCCACAAATTTCTACTGATGAATATTTCTTGACTCTACTTAATCTAATCAGTGTTTACGGGGTAAATTTATATATATAATAATAATTTAATCTCCAACTTCACCGTAATAAGGATAGCTGAAAGTGGGCTACTTGAATTAATATGGTCTATTTTATTTTGTGTCTATACTCAAAGACACATTAATAGAATCGATGCTTTCTAGCTAGAGTAAGGTTTTATCATGTAAATTTACTTATAGTTATTGCAAAACTACCGTACTGTTCGATTTTAACGTTTAGTCTCCCTACTATCTATAGTCAATTCAAGCTTAGATAATAACTAGATCTACGAAAAATTTATAGAAATGAGTGTGCAATTTTTAAAATATTCATTTACTTTTATAGGATGTCATCAAGAATATTTTTTTGTTGTTCCATCCCTACAACCGTTACATTTTGCACACCATTTAAGAAGCAAGAAACTGCTTCTACTTGTTTGGACCTTATATCCAATAAATTAATATCTAAGGCACTTTGGGGAATTGCAGGAATTGCACTCCTTGGCAATCTAGTCATCATTGCTATCAAAGTACTGAAATACAGGAACCAGCCCGAATCTGTCCTAGGATTACTCTCTCAAAATCTTAGTGTCGCTAATCTGTTGCTATCATCGTACGTATTCATCATCGGTAGCGCTGATATCGCTTATCACGATCACTATGCAAAATATTCCGAATTATGGCTAAAAGGACCATTTTGTTCATTATCCTGCATATTGGCTAGCATGTCCAGCTTAATTTCATCGGCTGTAATTATTTTTATGACCGTAGATCGCTTCATCAGTATAGTTATTCCTCACAAGACCAACTTAATTCAACCAAAAAAAGCAAAATACATCATCGATAGAACTTGGATAGTTGTCTTTATATTTGTTACTATTCCAAATTTGTTCAGTATAAATGCTGAAGGCGATGCAAGAATTTATGGATATGTCGGCATCTGCCTGCCAGTCAATTATGATAATCCATTTTATCGAATGTGGATTGTTACATTTATTACTGGAATAGCTCTTTGCTGGATAGCAACATCATACCTTTGGATACATATATCTGTTACAATGAAATTGTTAAGCAAAAAAACAGGCAAGTCAGCAAGAAGGCAAGAACGAGCTATTGCTTTAAGGATACTGCCAATTATTTTAAGTAACTTGATTGCATGGATACCATTCTTAATATTTACCCTTGAAATCGCTCGTAATCCAAGTAACATGCCTGAGACTACTTTGCAAATCACATTTCTTATAGTATTACCCATCAATGCAGCTATTTATTTCGGACTAACTGCCTATAGTGGTCTAATAGGTATTAACGCAACAAGTAATCAAATGCGACAATATTATGGTCGCATCAGTAGCCGAATAATGACTAGAAAAAGTATTCTTGGCAACAATACTAACCCTGTACAACCAGCACGACGATGTACAGAGGTAGTCATCTGCCAAATTAGAACTGAGACTAATGAAGGAGAAAGATTATACGCAGATTCTGGGACATATATAAGGAGGATATCGCAAACTCCCCAAGATCAAATTGCTGCCGAAGTGCTAAAGAATTTACCCAATTAGATCAATGGACGGAATGGTATAAAATTCTAACATTTAATAATTATATGTTATAATAATTGAACTGTGTCAGTTATTAACCATCTTCGAGTAACTTGTAAGTCCTGTGTCCTGTGTCAGAAATATATCCGATAAAACACATCAGCCTATCAAATAACCCCTACATTCTAAGCTAGGTAACTTATCCTAAGTACCTTTTCTGTAAGAATAACTTCTATTAAGGAATCTATAGATCCTACGTTTAGCTAACTTCATCTACACCTTATTTTTTACTAATATTCTTTAAAATCTGTCGTTATAGTATAATGGATGTCGTTACAAATGCTTCTTGTATTAATTTTTACTGATAATATGGCAGGTAAAATTACTGCCCTCTACAAAATCATAAAGTGACCCTCAATAATTTCTAAGCACCTTTCTTTAATGTGCGTTAAGCTATTTGCATTACTGTACTTGCAAAAAATTTAAAGTTTACAATCGTATTTATTCCAGATCGATGTCACATATTTTATAGATGAATGCGTTATAGCAGTTTATGGCTTTATCTATAACATTCACTGATAGAAATTTCTGTTCCGATATAATCGATAACATAGATTACTTAGAAAAGCCTAAATTAGATAAAAGCATTATAACGGCCACTCCTAAATGAATTCTTTAAAGGCACTGTCACAAAACAGCTTTGCAACAAGATAACGCAATATACGATCAATAAGTCAATTCCTTGAACCACGTATCAAGGAACGATATCTGCACTATCACAAACACTTTTGCTCTACTAGCAGACTACACAAAGACTTAAACGCCTCGTATTTTACGTTAAACACTAAGTTGGACAATTCTTCTTTATTTCACGATATACTGCATTTATATACTATTCCTCAATAGTTCATGAGTCATAGTTAATACAATTAACATTAGAATCATTTACTGAATTAGATATTAATTTTAGCTACTGCTCCCTTAATGCAGACAACAGTATTTACGAACATAGACATGTAATGACTAATACAGAATAGTCAGATTACGATATGTCCTATCACGGAACATATTTATGATAATTTACAGTCTACCATAAGTAAATTACAATCACAATGATTCGAACTGTAAGCAGATGATTTGCATTCCCTATTATAACTATTATAATTTCAGTATGTGTATAAGTGTCACTGTCATAAAAAGTCAGTGCTATATTAAAATACAGTATATCCAAATTAGAAGTTAACTAAATTAGGATAGTCTAACAGAATTATCCTAACATAGTTATTTCTACTGTAATACAGTATTTAACACTGTAACAGGCACTTATAAATAATGTAGTATAGCAAAGCTCACTCGTAAGTACCGTGTCTACAAATTTTATCAGTTATAAAATGTCTCGCGTTATCATATCTCGTAAAAATTATGGTAAAGTCAGTTTTAGATAGTATTGAAATAATGTCTTACCGTATAGCAAACATCTGCGTAGCAATAAATAAAAGACTGAAAAATTTGGAGCCTCAAACGAACATTATGCTTGGTTACTATTTGAATTATTTATAGACTAAGCTATCTTATAACTTTTTAATTGCATACCTATTATTGTGCTCTCTTTACATGAAATCTTCTAAACATTACCATTCTTTAAGCACAAGCGAAATGATAATAAGATAGCAAAGGCATGGAAATCCTGTTGTAATTTATTCTGGGCCCTAATTGATAATCAGACTTATATCGGATTCTGTATCTTTAAAATCTTATACTCTATTCCGTAATATGTATTATCTTGCTATAACAGCCAATAAATTGAAATAGTACATATCACTCACATGAGTAATACCACTGTCTACTCTCGTTTAATGTGAGTATGCAACTAACTTACTAGCTACTTAGTCGCCAACTAACTATGGAGAGATACTGTAAGTAAGACTAACAACTTCCTCACAAGTATAATAAGCGGCTTGTTTTAAGATTAGTTTATGAGTTTTTACTTCTATTCATGCCACGAGAGTATAGTACCTTGTTGTACTAGTACTAGAGAAGTATCAACTGAGCGATATATTTTCTGCTCGGGCTTATATACAGTCGCCAAACATAGGCGGTGCAAAGTAGAGAAACACATATAATACAATTTACTCACTTAGTATGAGAAACATTACCGAGGATCTCCGGAGTTAGTCGGAGAACCATAAGAGTGGATAGACTAGTTTAGGTACGATCACGAAAGCTGTTTTGTGACACTGGTGGTAGCGGTGGGATCCGAAGAAGAAAACACCTTGCCCCAAAAATTGGAACTCCTTGGTAGGCTAGCACCCGACAAACTGACCTCAAGAAAAAGGTAAGAAGACCTATTTCAGTTCTTGTAAAGAAGTCAGAAGAGTCTACGAAGATAACCTGATCAACTGCTACGCTGATAAGCGAAAATGGCTCACTCAAGCGTAGATTTAAACCTGTTAACCTTAGATGCTGAAAGCCAGAGAACGGAACAACTTGCCGCCTTGTCCGATGACTTACTAAGGATCTCCGGAGTTAGTCGGAGAACCATAAGTGTAGATAGACTAGTTTAGGTACGATCACGAAAGCTGTTTTGTGACAGCCATTTTCACGAATATCTAATATTTTATTCCTCGATCGTACATAATTAGATTGTATATTGTAACTGACTTGGTAATAGTCAGAAATCAAATTATAATATGATATATTAAAAAGTGATTACATTGAAATTTTCTTCTTATATCTATGCCGAGTAACAGATTAAGCAAAAAAATCTATTTACGTAATAATTATTTGATTAGCAATTTTTCGAACCAAAGATACTAACAAATCCTTATCAAGTTTCTGAAACGATTCGCTTTTGGTAACAAGTCTAAATTTTGAGCTCAATTGATCAACTAAAGCCTTCTCAAATCTATCTTCTAGTTTCGATGATAGAGAACTTTTAACACTTTCATATTCGACGTAGGCCTTTAACAAATCTTCCACAGAATTTTCATTACTTAAAGATTGTAAGCAATATTCCATTAATCCAGAAACTGGATATTTTTCGGCAGCTTTTTATAATAGGTACAGTATAGTACGGCAAAGGAAAAATTAATGTAAGTAATTTTCGATTATTTTCAACCAGGACAATAAGTTCTGTAACCAAAATAGCTACGCCAATAATATTTGGAAATTAATTATTTTGTCTAATTTGCAATTTATACCGATATAGGTATTATCTTACCACAATATAGATATAATGCCGTAATTGGATTTAAATTGACGGCTGCTTTATAAATATATTCAATGAGTAAACTGAATATATCGCTCGAGATATCTTCGATTACAAGCTTTTCCTAGCACAATTAAAGTTAGATATATTAAAGTTAGAAATAAAAATAAAAGACCCTGAAATCGTTAGATTCGTTGTAAAAAAGTGAAAATTATAAGACTGAGTAAAATAACTTTGTAATGTAGCCCCGTAATTAGATTAGGATTGTAGTTATAAGATTGCACAAAAATTATTCCAGTCCTGTGTTTGATTATAAGATTGTACTAGTGGCTATTTTTAGCTGGTAATTTTGGAACCTTCTACAACTTTTTACGTAAATAATTAAATTAGGATTTTATAATATTTATAGATTACGTTAGGCAATTTTTCACTGCAAAAAATTTGCTATGACGCTCATTAAAATTACAAGAGACAATTATGAGATCAAAAATTCAGCATTGATCTACAACTTAAATGGCTATAAGTGATTTTTGCTAAAAATGATCCTGTATCAAATTCTATTTTAATTATCGATTGAAGTCGGCAGCCCTCGATTTTTAGTAAATGAGCCAGTTATGTGTAGTATGTACAGTTTTACAAGAAATCATAATTCTTGCCATAATATTTGAAGGCTCTTGATCATACTGGCAAACATTCCTGATGCATATGAATTGCTGTTTTTGAGTTACAAACCTCATAAATTGTCATTTTTAACAGCTTCAGTGATATTAAATCCCGGTATTCATTTTAATTTGCACTATATTTATATAAGCGAAATGCCTCATATGTCTACTATTACATTGTCTCTTCAAGTTTTCTCTGTGAAAGCTATGTTCACTATCTACCAGCAGTAGATAACATTTCATCATGCAACCAGTGCTAGGTGGTATCAATAAATTTTATGATAGTGTGCTTCTATAATTCTTACACTATGCTGTAGATATTGCCAGATTCAACATAAAGCAATGTAGATAATCTTAGAATGTTAATGATGTACTGTATTTCTTTAGGATATCTAAATTCATTCATCTAACACTAAGTTATAGTGAAAAGATTTCGACATTAATCTAATTTCGAGATGATTACTAGCAATAATTAAATTACCTTACCGCAGTGCATTCCTTAAAAATTTCATCAAAGCGGCTACAACGAGCGGCAAGAATACACCGATGCAAGCCAAAGAAATATTCCGAAAAAATTTGTACATTAACGTCGCCGAATCTCCTACTATCGTAGAGACTACCAACACATTCTGCTAAATAAACAGGAAATACTTAAATAATAATTGCGCCTAATGTTTTAAGCTATAAATGCAGCAAGTTCATAAGAAATTAATAACATTAATACCAAAATACTGAAATTTAATTCTGGATAAGTTTTCTTAATTTTGTACTCGTGTTGTACATTATTATACCCTTTTTATTTAGAGACTATAAACTTAGTTTCTATAAGTGTAAAGGTCCAGTAAGAATCTCCTACTATTACTATTGGTTCGACTACATAATCCAAAATTTAGCCACTTTGCTGTACTACTTCAATTAAGCGAAATTGTTACGGTAAGCAATTCTATTAAAATTTAACATTTATTATGTACTAAAGTTAAGCTATAGATCTTATGCAATTCTTTCTAACACTTTTAGTGAAACTAGAAATCAAAATATAATATATATATAAAAATGCTTTAGAGTCTCATCTTAGAATCATACCGAAAATACTTCCTTCTGCTTCGACACTTGCTTCACTAACATTCGTTTCTGCAGGTCGGAGTTTCTCATTTGTTATCCAAGTATCCCAGTTATTACTATAATTTTTATAGCGAACTTTTACGTAACAAGTTTTAATTTCTTCAATTATTGCTTCATACCAGCTGCTTCCCCATTCTGCCTCTATTTTATCTCCGACTTTTAAGTCTGAATTTTCATCAGCAGGTTTATCTTGATTGATTCGAATCTTGGATAGCTCTATAGCTTCGTTAAATGAATCGCTCCAGCCCAAATAAGAGACCTTTCGATTTAAAAATATTATATTAACCTTAAAAATTCAGTTGCATATATGAAATAGAAATGTATGTTTCTTTAATTATATTTCGCAGCTAGCAGAAAGTATATACAGTAGTCTACATTATGTTGTAATCTTTCCAGATACTATGATTTAAAAATGCATCAACTAGCCATCCAAATTGAATAACTCAGTTAACTATTTTTCTTGGCTTAGCCAATTAACGATCAATTATCAGAGGTAAGCAACTAAATTTAAACCTTAATATGTTAAAATACTGTTACGGTATGAACCACCGTGAAGAGTAAATGACTAAATTTAGAGTTTAACTTTTATATATGGAAATAACTAATAATGATTTATAGTAAGAACTACGGTAGTTATTATTTTGTTACAGTAAATTATGCTGTATTGCAGTAGAAGTTTTCATAAGCTAAGTGATATTAATTGATTACACTGTTATGTCTGTCTTGCAATGCTAGTGATGAATATCCTGAAGATATTCAATTATAGATGATACTATAAATAATTCTGTGTATGGATATACTGTACTGTAGTCCAATTATCTAGAATCATTCAGTACATGTCCAAAATTATGTATAATGTCTGTATTATTTTTGCTATCCAATATGAGCTAAATTTCATCAACTGTTATGACTCATACATGATAGCTTCTGCCGAAGTGTATTTAAGCTCGATGATAGTTAAATAAAAAAAGAGTTTTACAATTGTTTCAACGTAGAAGCAAAGCCGTCTAAATTCTTGTGAATTAGTTAAGGGATACTGAATCCCGGAGACTATAGTAATTTAGAGATTTGTTTTAAATTATCTTTGTCACGAAGCTGGTTTGTGACAAATACCTATAGCTACTCATTAATTTTTGACGAACCAAGTAGCTGAAGAATCATTGCTACAATTACTTGAGCCATTTAGTATGGTATAATAGTAGCCTCAGAATAGACTTTTCACATCATTAGTATTTGCAGAACATAAACTTAATAATCTATATTTTAACATTTAACTCTGCATATTTTGTAGCAGTTGTTGTATTCACGTGAACAGCGATTAAAATCTATATGGTAAGTAACTATTATATATTTTGATCCCGATTACTGAAATCTATTTAAAATGATGCTGAACAATTTTACAAATAACTGCAAGTAGCTATTTCGGCTAATTACAGTAGTAACATGAAGCATGGTAGCATTAAGAGGTAGAATAGTTGCTATGCTTAATGAAGTTAATATATGATAGCTGGTATGATAATTGTGTCAGAGTAGAGAATTACTCAATTTTAATAACTTAAATTTTGAGTCAGCGATTGCTAGTCAAAGGGGTTATTGAACTCAATAATCACACTGGACTAGATTTAAACTTGTTCATTCTCATCAACAATGGCCTAAATGCAAGCAATAAAGCAAATGTTTATATTAGGTTCGATCACTCAAAACTAATAAGTAGATCAATGTCGTATTGCATCTAGCTTTTCCATTTTAGCATTTAATCTACGGTAAATCTTCAAACAAAATAAAATCTAAAATCTATCTCTAAAGTTTTTGTTGATCTAAAAATCAAACAGTTTGCCCATAAGAGAAAATCTAATATTAATTGCTATTTCAGAGAAAAGGCTAAGTTACCAGATAGGTCTTTTTCTGTCCAATTTCTAAAATAACCCCTGGATACCATGTATTATTCCAAAAAATTTCTATATTTTGACCAACAGAGTATGCCATCTTATCAATACTCGTTATGTTACTTTAGCAATACTGCACAGATCCATACACTATAGATACGTAAGCTAAAATCAGGTAGTAGATGCTACTTGTTCTATTCTATCCCACCTGAAATCTATCAAGGCATAGCATAGTTTAACATTAAATCAATATGGACAAACATCAGATAGCCGATGTATCTATTCACGTGATTTCTGGCGTTTCCATAGAGATGAACTATAAACTATTGAGGTTATACTCTTGGGGCTCTTGCCGTCGATTCTTGCATTGCTTATAACATAACCCCACCTCGTGCTGCTCAACATGTAATCCTATAGTTTATAGAAATTTTACTGTTCATAGAAGCATTATCCATTCTTGGTTATGGATAAAGCGGAAAAATCATATTGAAGTATACTATTACGACCGTTTCAATTCAATCTTATTGTGATTATCATAGCTCTTTAATTTAACCAGCTGTGAACTACTATGCATAAATAAGTGGTTGTAGTTATATGTTGTGGTACTGCGCTACCAGTTAAATAATTATTGATTAAAGAATAATGAATACCTGAAAATAGTCCAGATACAGTCATGTACTACGTTTAATTTTAAATTTTGCTATATTCGTAGTTAATATTTTGATTGTCGAAATGTGATATAAAATACAAAGTATTACGAGTTAATTTACCGTAGATTGAACGGCGTGCTAGGCTCCAATAATCGAACCGTATGTTGAAGGAGGATGAGCGCTTCAACAGCCTAAGTTGCAGAATATCTAGATACTCGCATCTATTTAGTACTGTTACAAATCTCCTTTGTAACGAGAAGCCGGGTCTTAAACACTATCTTCACTAGTACTGGTGTTCCTAACTAACTTAGGGACCTATCGTAGTTGAACTAACTCTCAGCTACACAATATGGCTACTAATGAGTAATAGGTTTAAATACTTCACTTTATTTTCGTTAAACTTAGTCGTAAAATGTACTAAAGAAAAACGTAAGAATATTCTTAGCTATAATAGTCAAAAGATCCTGCAAATGACCAACTGGAACTGAGCAGCTAAGCTAGTGCTCGAAAAAGGTAGCAATTATTTAATTGTCTGCGGATTACAGATAAAAAATTAAATTCTCATATATCGCTTACATAGAAACTGGAAAAGCTAGGATAGTAGCGCCAGTTATTGTGCCCGCACTAAAGTTCTTTGTAAAACTCTTTGGCATAAGTGAGGGTTACAACAGTATGCGAATTATCTTAAATTAATTATCAAATTAGTGACTGTTGCTAATACCAGAACTAACTTAGATCAAACTTATCGCCACGTATTGATACCAGAGGCTAAGTATTAATATCACTACAAAACATCATGGATCTGGGCAGTGTACTGATAAAATTCAGAATTATTGCTTTGCTATCAGTAATATTAAAGTGTTTCTTTGATTCATGATCCTTTATTGAAATCTTTAGTTGTATTCTTTCTATAAGCATTTACTAAGGGCCTAAAATCTGTACAATGCAATTGCTCGTATCACTGACATATTATTTGCACTTGTTCGCATTTGCCAGGCGATAAGTCAAGATTTCACTATTTGATTATGGTTGCAAATTGTAAATGCGTCTAAAAATCACTGACATGTCCCTTGACTCATGCAAGTAAATTGAAATACTTTGAATAGACAAGTTTCTCTGCAGGAAATGTAAAAACGTATCAATTAATAATAATTTAAATTTCTAAGACAAAACTAGAACACGGAAGCATTTAATATAATTTACTCGTAATGCCTCAGCAAAGACAGCTATTGGAGCTGCCATGTAAGTTATTTTTGTGGTTTTGTCATATTAATAATGTAAATTAAATCGATTATTATGTCGCTTACCGTAAACTTTGAGATCACCACTGAGTACTACAGAGGAGAGGATATCACAATTTAATTCACTTTGTGCTAGGTTCAGGAAACACGTAGAAGCCGAAATCACTAAAATTATTTCACCATTTTGCAATAAACCATAAGCATAGTTAGCTAACCTACCAATTAGTAATTTTAGTAAAAGCATCAAGTTAGAAATACCATTATTCTTGTATATTTAGTATGCAACTGATCGATTCGCACAATTTTATATAAATAATACCGTGTGTAAATCTACTTTATCACTTATTTCCTTCATTCGAGCTTTACTTATGGAGAACTCCCTCCCGTTTAAATTGACTTGTTATAAATACGAATACTGTTGAATTAATTTCCAGAAATGAATTGATATCAATCGGTGGGTCTAATGCAATAACAGCAGGAAAACCCATATGAAGCCACTAAAATACGTAAGTTTTCAAGTTTTAATTCGTAGATTGATAATCTAATACATCAATTAAAATCAAAAATTATCTGCCAAAGGTACGCCTAGCTAATGACCGTAACTATTTATGATATCGGAAAATTACGATATTTGCCTGAATCATCAACCCTCTTACAAATTCTTATCCCCATATTTTCTGAGATTGAGCACAGATGCGGAAATTGTCAAACCTAAGTGCATATTAAGATTCTTCTACAGCCGTATCTAATTACATTGCATTAAATGAAAATCAATAGAGTACGACGATTAAGAACATAATTTTTATTTCTTTAAAAACGGTAACAATTTAACAATAGAATCATGGTAGATTATTTGTTTACCGTTGATTGTGATAATAAAATTTTCAATTATTTCGTGCCTAAATATAATACTCGAATAAATTTGATAGTCTTAATTGATAAAATATATATTTCCATTAATGAAAATAAACCAACTCAAATTTCACAAAAGAAAGCGGCAAAGTTATAGCGCTACAGCCTAGATTAAAACAACGTAGATAAAGATTTACTTCCTGAAGTCAATACATTAATAGCTACAGCCTAATAAAGACTATTGACTCTATTATCAGGATATTAATAAACGATATGTAGTCCGGATATTCATAATGGACTTGAAATTTGTCCAATAGAATAGCACATGCAAGCTTGACTTGCTTTTAGAATTTATTTATAATTCTAACTTGGATCAATCACCTTAGTTTTCTTGACGTTTCTACATGATAGAGGGTTATAAATGGAAACAGTACTACACCATTTGATTACAGGAATATTCCATAAATTTTTAGAAAATTGACATTATATTTTTTATATCTATTCATAAGCCCTAAAGATGAACCAATCATGATGCCAGATGTATTAATATTTTTCCATTCCTTGTCCATTTGAATACAAAAACTATTCAAAATACCAAACTAGCTCAAATAGAACAGGACCTTGGTGCTCTTTTATTGACAAATAGAAACGAACATTTATACCCTTGCTGTTGAAATATGGGAGTTAATTATAAGTAAATTAGTTTATAATACTACAGTAATAGTCTAAGTTCGATACTACTAACGGATGAAAGCTTAGCAATTGCTAGTTGATGGAGCTAGTGATAACATTCCCTAAAACACAAATTAGGAAAGAGACAGTAGCCCTAATATTTAATTCGCCTTTTTATCAACCCGGAGAAAAGTACTTCTCGCTTAAAACTGGAATTGCCAGCTAATAAACTAACCATTACCTGTCTTACTTTAGCGTACTACGTGGACCTGTATTAAATTTTTAATAAGTTAGTAATAAGAATAGTATCTATAATAAATGATAAAAGGCACAAAGATCGATGTATAAGCAATAAATGAAAATCATTTATTCGAAATGAAAGGTCACGAAGGAGAGCGGAAGAAAGGGGCAAAATCGAATATGAAAGAAAGCTCGATTTGAAGTATTTATGAAGAATCATAATAGTAGAAGCTTCTATTTGATGAACACTTCATGTAGTATGCCTATTTAAAAACTGATTGGTAATCTACGATAAATAATATCATAAGTGTTTTACTGAAAGACATTTATCGTGAATACTTTACTGGAATATTGAGAATCTTTAAATTATTGATTGATTATCGCTAATTTACTTTTGTAAATGAATTCGGTAAACGTAATATCCCACTTATATCAAGAGCATGTAATACAGAAACTTGAATAAAAATTTATCAATCGATTAAAATATAATTTTTTTTAAAATTCAACTCTGCAAAAGTTATTTGCATATTACATAAAGTGAAGGACAATGAAACCTATTATTCCGTTATTAGATAAATAGGCACTATGACACGATGTAATCATTCCACAGCAACCCATTTAATCGTTATTTTGTTCTACAATTTTATCATGCTGAAAATAAAATTATTTAAAGTTCTCTATTGGCTAACGACCTATTCTCTAATTTCATGCTTGGAGATAGAAGTTATAGAATATGATACTTTAAATTGCCAAGAAGTTCGCACATTTGTTTCACAGTCATGGAATCTATGCAAGTTAACTGGCTTTACAAAGTATCAGTTAAAGTACAATTATATCTGTAAAGCGGAAAATCCGCTTCATATTAAACCCGAAGATGAAAAGAGAAGTGTCGCAGGTATGGCTTATACCAGTCGGTACTTTCATTTCAATTTTAAGCTTGGAATAATATATAACTCTAACTTTCGTAACTATCTCATAGTAAATAGGACACCAAACTTCTAACTTAGATAACTATTTTACACTACTCCAATTTTATATTCAATTATTTGTAGGCATGCCTGAGGAGCTTACGGTGTCTAGAAAAGAATCTAACCAATTCTTACAACACACTGAATCAAAACGCCAACTATCCAGTGAGTTTTATCCTGTTTACACATCATGCTGCGACTCTGGTAGAAACGAAACCCATACGGAATGTAACGTTATAGATATTATGGTTGGCTGCAATGATGAAGTTAATTTTGAGTTTACCAGTACAGGTGCCTGCGAAATGACTAAAGAAATGAATAGCTTGAAATAAAATTTATCCTGTTTGCGACTGATAATCTATATAAAAGCTAAACTAAAATCGATTTCATTTCTATTATTATTGCATTCACAAACGTAATTTTGAGATCACGTATCCTAAGAATTTTACAATTTATTCATATACTCGTTTAAGGCTCTAATGGCAATTATTTTCTCATCTTTGGTATCTATAATGATCCAGTGACGTATACATATATCGATTAGTAACGATTATTAAATCGTTTATCTCTTTACGAATCGCGGACTACTTATTTAAAATATTGTGTTTAAACGTTATATGGTAGTCACATTTCTAGATGTTGTGTTTGGGTAAAATTTATGACCACCACTAGATGTATAAAATAGTGACTTGTTCATAACATTACTATAGTATATCAATATAATTGCAGTTATATTACAGTATTAAGATCTCAAATTTCTTTAAAGTGCTACGTACATCAAGCATTTACAAAGAATTTAAAGCTTTGGTAGGCCTATGGATCTAGAATAAATACTATTCTCTTATATAGAATTGTATCTGGAACCAAAATATCATGTAATTAAGAATAATGTTACCAGAAAGGTTGTGTCCAATTATAATTGCTTATTTCCATATTCATTGGTCGTAATATTCTTACGTTTGTCTCAAAAGAATTGACTATTATAAATAAAGAAATTCTATCTATTCAATGCTTTGACTTCGCTACTAAGTACTTTCGCAACTCATAGTCTGAAAAATTCTAGCTTTTAAATACGACAAAAATTTCATACTGAATCTGTTATATTCTGATTTCGGTATTGCGCTTTTAGTGTTCGAAATACAGAATAAGATCAAATTTAATGGCCAAAATCATATCACCTTTAAGTCGTTCTTAAGACTATAAAGTTATATACGATAGTAAGATTTAATGATCATTTTTGCCTCTAGTCAACTACAAACATTAAATGAAAAGATTTTTAATGATACCAGCTTTCCTAAGTAAGGTCAGCAATTACTCAGTAAATTCTAGTTGCCACGGCCATGGTTGTCAATGTAATCGGGTATTGTTTAATATATTTTGCATCTTAAATACGAGTATACAAATGAAGTGATCTGTAGTACTGACATAAATTATGCATTTTGTTTACTAAAATTTTCCGTGTATTACTCTTAAATTAATTACAGACCACGTCATTCCTTTCTCAGGAAAGAAATTTGCTTGCAAATAAAAGATATAATAGATCTATAATTTACGAATATTGCTTCATAGTACTTGTAGTTACAAAATAAGAAGAATGTAATTATAAGCATTTACTACTATGGTATTATTCCTTTACTTTTAGTATTCAAGAAAATAGTATAGCAATATTTAGCGTTATCGATTACGGTTATATTGATCATATAAATTATAGCTATTGCGTGCTCTGTTCATCACAAGAGCCCGTAGCTATGGTATGTAACTAATGTTTGCGGTAGCTACCAGAACATGACTGTTAAATGGTTTTCGCTCCGTTATCATCCGAGCTTGAAATATGTACAAAAGTATGCCGACAATTAGCTGATTGATATTGTACGTAATTAGGTATGTAGATTTTTCAAATCACTTAATTTCTATGGCAAGATACCAAAAAATCGATTAATAGCTTGTGTCTAGAGCAGTTACGGAACTAAAATAAGCTTACTAAACATGATATCATATCATTATTATCGAGTTACTCTATTTCCCGCTGACATTTAATAAAGTAAAGTTGCAGTCATAACAGTAAATTTATAACTTTCCCAACCTAAAATTATAAGTGTCGACAATGTCGCTAACGGAATCGATGTTATAAAGAGTATTACTTTTGTTAAAATTTTATGTATTAACTAGCTTCAATACGCAAGCCTTAAATTCTATCGTCTAATATTTTTGAGATGTATTCTAGTAGAAGTAACATACGAGTAAAATGTAAATTAATTGTGGCACACCAGTTTTAATCAAGACATGAATTTCAGCTATTGTTTGAGTCTGTACAACAATCTATTAATAGCAATTTTTCATCAGCTTACGAATACAAACCATGATAGCATTTTAATACTGTTACATTAACGAAGAAATATCCAAATCTAAACTTATATAGAGGAGAACATCGGCTCTTTTAGGATTATAAGTCTTAAAGATAAGAATGAATTAGATTAAATTCTGAATAATTGCAATCGCTCCATAATTAGTTATTAGAGGCTACTGTAGTTTATTTCATTGGTAGAATAAAAAGAAAACAAAGTCATAAATTATTGATTGCGCTTAATAAAATCGTTATCATGTATAAAACATAAAGACCGACGTGGTAATTAACGTACAGCACAATAACGCTTTACACAGCCATGATCACCGATGGAGTACATTGATGGCAGTATTTATTCCAATAGGAGAAATAATTAATGTATTAGTTCAATTGCGTAAATTTCACTGGAGTAAAATGTGAGCTATAAATAGCTTTTCTCTATTTTAAGCTTCCTTATTTAAATTACCAATATAATTGTTGTAGCCATTGTGATTATCTATCTGACTTCAACTGTAATCCTCGTTTTTATAGCTATTTGTCATTCACTTAGATTTACGGCCGGAATTTGGTCGATGTAGAGATCAAAAATTTGATTACATATGGTAAAACAATCTGCTTGATACTGAAACCTTTAAATTTTTGCTAAAAGCTAGACTGAGTAATTTTTGCCTCATGCCTGCACAAATATCAACACTGTATGACTATAATACGTATCAAATACTATTTTATTGCAATCGCAATCATTCTTTATTTTGTTTCTACATATTCGTACATCAGTAATTCTCATAATCAGAGTTAAGAAGAGAGAACAATTTGTGAAGATCAATTTTGATTTTGATTTTTACTGTGATATGAGGCTTCCTTCATTGCTTATCTGCATGCAGTAGCTATAACGGTATAATCTCAAGCGAAAGGGCAATTAGCTTTTGCTTACGAATTTTATAAAATTTGAGTTGTAAAATTTATTCAAATAAAAGCTGCTAAATTCTATCGTTAATAACTGACAATTTACGCTATTTAAAGAGATTAGCATAGTATTTATACATACCATGCTGATACATAAGGTGTATAAAATTCATTTAAAGAATGTAATTTACGTGACTAAACTTTGTTTCTGTAAAATTGTTGCGACAGATGTTACTGATTATCGTTGATTTGGCAAGTTTTAATACGGTAAATCGCTTTTTCCACTCCGAATGCGAAACTATTTCTTATAGAAAGATGTTAAATTGTACTGTATACACTTTTCAGTAATGTTCTTCCTATATTATCGTTACAAATCTAAATTTGTAGCAAGGAAAAGTTAAACTACTCAAAAAAACTAAGACTATGAGCCTACTGTCAGGTTTATCCTCCCTGGCATTTACTTATGGTACGACTCTGTATACTAACGATTTCCTATCATCAGGAGGAATGGTAATCACTATTCACTCTTTAAATAAAACTGAATCCAAACTTTATTGAAAAGCCAGTCAGTTTATAGTCAATTTACGTAATCATTAGTTATCAGTACTAAGACAATGTTATAAAACTATCCGTTTATCTATAAAAGAATATGTAATGTCATTGATAACGGTATTTTTAACAAATACCAAATTATATTATCTGGCGAAAAGAAGATAAGCATTAGTTAGTGAAAGTTTCTTCACACAAGTATGGATCCGAATGCAAGCAGTTGCAGTAATTTCACGATGCTTTTGATACAGTATTCTAATCTGTTTTATTAGATACATATGCTTCTATATTGCTATTTAGTTTATATTTTTTGCTATGATTTGACTGTTAGCTCTCTTGATTCAAGATAAATACCAGGTTCTCATTTTTTGTCTGGTCCTGGTGTATATTGTGCTTCATATATCACTATGGAACCCTACACCGTAAGAAATTCGTAAAAACGGCAGATGCTGGTGCCATCTTTCATGCTAAATGTTCTTATTCAGAAATAAATGGAGACGTAATCGAGATCAAAATAGCCTGCATTCCTGCATTGATTCTACTACTATTTACAATTTTTCAGTTAAATAAACGCGTATATTTACTAAAGGAAGCAAGTAAACCCAACAACTACAAGATTCGCTTGGTTTACGTGTTGAAACTACTCAATACCAGTACTTTATTATTCACTTACAGCTTGTATTCTATTAGCAGCAGAGACGTACGTATATTCCGAATTATTAATTCATCCCCACGACAATCATATCAAAAATATTTATCAATCCGAGATATTACAAAAACATTGACGTTAGCGATAACAGCAACTTATTTCCTCGTCAAATAATTGTATAGTGTGATAGAGAGCGATAATAATCTGATCAATAAAACTAGTATACCCGGGCTCACATGAATATGCCTCTGAATCTTCTGATATTTTGCACTGCAATGATAATACAACCGTAAAGTACGCGTACTTACTTCAATTATTACGGTTTGATCGGAAGAAAAGCTTCAGGATAAACGATATTTTGTTACTTTCGGCTACACATAGCTACTTGACATGCACCAGTGAGCTACTACCAATAAAAAATACGGTAATTCGACTTACAACTTCCGTCAATACCGATGGTACTATAAAGCACAAGATTGCAAGATTAGCATGTTAATAGTAATACACACTAATTACTATTAATTAAAATCCAGCAGCAATTGACTAAATTCTATTTAGTGATGGTAAGTACACTTATATCATCAAAATTTTAGCGAAAATTTTGAATTATTCTTATCATATGACCAGTAATCAGCTGTCACACTTCTAAAATGTAAAAGCTGTTTTCGGACAAAGATGATTCTTCACGTATAGCTATAAGCATTTCTAATATTTAACGGGGTACATCATTTATAGGCTCTATTTTGGTTATTTTCACTTTTGAAAAGCGAATTCATTATAACATTAAAGCGATTAGTTATGTACTATTTGTAAATCCCATATTTGACAGTAAGAAAAAGCGCTATAATCCTGTAAAGGATTGTTACAGTATTATATACTGTATT